TTGCAAATTTCAATAGTTACATTCAAATTGCATTTTTCTCTCTCTTCCAGTGATGAAAGATAACGATCTCTACAGACAATATGCCGACAAGGGTGTCGACGGAGCTGAACACCAGGTGTCAACAGAGAAACAGGAGGTGATAGGTAGGCTATATTGGATGTATTGATAAAGTGATTAATATAAAGATCCTTTACAATGCTACAGTAACATGTTTTTGTAGGGAAGTGTGCTGGCCTAGTGGTTAAAGCGTTCGCTCGTCACGCCTTAATTAGATCCAGGTTCGATTCCCCACATTAGGCACAGTATGTGAAGCCCATGGTGTCCCCCACCGTCATATTGCTGGAAAATTCACTGTTTTTGTATCTATATTTTGTGCATTGCGTCAATATTACGTATCATAAAGCTACGTGTCAGCCACGTTATTTGACAGTATGATAAGGCAATCGTGTAGTGTATTTATATGCATGAAAAATGTTAGTCTGACTTAAAAAAGGAATAAGTCAATGATAATTACATCTGCACCTGCGTATAATGCGTATATAACATGATTGTGTAAAGCAATAGATTTTAAAACACTCATTCAGACAGTCCAAGATAGATCGAAGCCATAGGTGTATTCATATAGTCCGTCTATTTCTGTGTTCAGTGATGGAAGATAATGATGTGTATCACGGATTTGTGAAAGCTGAAAGTCAGAAGCCAGCAGAAAAGCAGCAGGTGCCAGGTAAGTTATTCCTTGTTCTGGAACCTGGATTTTCTTTGATAAGATGTGGTTAGTAACAATGTCTATGTACATTAACTGTAGTTTCATTATCCGGTAACTATTTATGTACCCCCGTCCCATTTCATGGTCCTGGACTGGCATTTCAACATGACAACCCTACACCCATATCGTAGTTAGCAACTTCTCCTGTAACGCCTGTGATGATGTCATGACAGTTCCCGTGATTTGAACCCGATCGAACACATCTGGGAAGAGGAGACGCAGATTAGTTACAAGACCTTGGGCAAGCGCTCGTTGACGAATCCGCCAGCCCATAAGGATACGCTACGGCCGTTGTAGGGGTCACACTAAGTCTTGTTTTTGACTGCTTCTGTTTAAGAGTTCGCGTTGGAGGATGGGACAATCCCCTGCAATTCGTTTGTACTGTTACATGGATGAAAGCAGTGTGATACACTTCTGTATTCATATCAATGCACTTATTCGTGTGTGTGTGCGTGTGCGTATGCTTGCGTGCGTGTGCCAACTATGATAGTATCACCCACAACATTTGTATGTACAGTAACTGTTTTATTTTATACTGACGTGTTTTCTCATCAACATAGACGAAATAACAATATTTGAATATATGCCTAAGATGCATTCTGAGACGAGAACTAAAATGGCCTTTGTTCTCCATTTAAGATGTGTATTCAAAGGTCAACAAGGTGAAGAAAACCAACAATGCAACAGAAGTACCGATTACTCTGAGTATTGAAGACCTGTATGCGAAGCCCATCAAACCAGCAAACGGAAGGAGTGAATGTAAGCCCACACAAAAATATGTTCTAAAGTGTCATCTGTATTGATAGGTATTTAACAACAAGGTTGTACACAAAATAGTTTGCCTAGCATAAAAACTGCTCACGTCAGAGTAATTTAACCTGTACCATGGCATTGCAAATCTCCTAGCCATTTATGTAACATTGAGTACAAATCTTACAACAGAAGTGACAATCTCCCATCAATCATGTAACATTATCATACCAAAAGACGTTAACATGTGGTACCTGTTGTTCCCTGCCTGGCGTTTGGCATTACCATGGACTGGTTGGCTCGGAGTATAATGTGTCTAAGTGGAATCATGCCTAACTGCGGAATGGCGTCTCTGTGAGCTAGCACTATTAAAGCAGCTTACGTCTGGGCTAGTACAAGCAACACCTCACCTCACCTCACCTCACCTCACCTCACCTCACGTAGCATTGAGTACTAGTCCTACCATGACGCAGACAATCTGTTATGTTAGATGTATCGGCATGATTAATACCATAAAATTTGAGCAGGCGCAGAAGCGAGGGACACAGCCCTTGATTGTCAGGATGGAGGATAATGTTAGCTATGCCTACGGTCTATGGCAAACGTATTTTTGACGTGTCTGTGACGTTTTCACCACAGTAGCGTTGAAGGGGTGGCATTACCGTAGCCATGGTGACAGGATACAGCACATGCTACCAAGGTTTGCTGAGACCCAACTGCTTATTCTTTCAGCGTCATCCTAAGTGTCATCCTACCAGAACGTGGACGTCAGCACCCCAGACTGACCGACAGACGTCATCAGAAGCAGTGGTCGTTGTGGACTTCCAATCCAGTGATGCTGAAAGGGAATCTTCCATATGATACGCCGTCATTACACCAACACCAACGTGAAATATACACATAAGCATACATCTTAATGCACCATTATTTATTGTCCCCATAATCCAAGTTATTCAAGCTTTATGACAGATTCCTGTGAGGAAATCCAGTGATGTATTGAGATCAGCGATTTGCCCCTTCGGGACACCATGACGCTCACATTTGTAGGCTCACACGACCCAAGTCGCTTGGGATGTATTTCAACTCGGTATACCAACAGGAATGTTTTTGTTGACTACAATCTGATACAGTTTACTAACATTTTATGATGATTTTGTTATTACTCACTGTTTTACTTTGCATCATTGTTGTGAATGCTGTATATCCCCATAGAATGACTTTTGCCATTTTCTCCCCCAAATGCACAGTGAGAAATAAGCGTCTCAAACTCACCATAAGCGGAGAATAAAATGGTATAACATAAAAAATACCCTAATTCATGGATTACTATTAGATACGTCGGTGAACAGAAATGAACCAAGCATTGTTGAGTATGAAAGGAAAAACATGATTTTGGAACAGAGGTTTAGTGGAGCGAATAGATGTCAATAAGTTACTATCTTGTCTCTATTACACTAACGACATTTTTTGTATTAAAATCATCATGTAGTAAAACCATATGTAAGCCTGTAAAAGGCTCTTCTGTGCCTGTTATGGTTTCAAGTGAGCCGCTGACTTTGTGTGAAGGGTACCAATTCACGTACATATATTTTAGAGTCATCATTAGATGTTTGCCAAGGTTGCGTTCTGAATCCCTTGTTATATACTTTCGTTATTGATGAATTTGTTACACTGTGATCAGTGAATATTTGTTATTCAGCACATCAATATACTTCTAAATTTGTTTGCTGATGATTTCCATATAAAGTGTCAACTCTGCAAAAGCAATTGATTATTTTAGAAATGTTTCGTAACACATTACAACCACGCGTTACCATGTGTGAGTCTAAGCTAATGTATTTGAATAATGCTTGTTTCGTTTGTATACATGAAAAACGGGTCTTCTGTTATAGGAACATTGAAGTTTAGGCTTACAATAAATATCAAACTAACAAGATTTCATGTTGATGTACATGTAACCTGTGAAAAATAAGGATACGTAACTCATCACATTTAAACAAATATAAATATAATCGGTATTCCTCAAAAGTATTGCCCCTCCTAATTAATGTAAACAATAACTTGTAAATATTGCACAGTGCACGCAGCAACATAAAATCACAGCTGTTGCAGCATGCTGTCAAACATGACTTCAGCATGAAACGTTGCGATATTTTAAAGTTTTGTCTTGTAGGCTTTACATTTTTGCTTGTAGCTGAAGACACTGCCTTGTACTGATACGTTTGGCCATTTGCCTCATTGCTAATGAAACATGTCCGTCTGTTGGATCAGTTTGTCATGTGCCAAAGAGCTACACCAAATTACTATTGTATATTCTACTGATGTATCATATGTTATGTAACAAGTGCTTAATAAATGATAACTGAATTATTCGCCTACATGTAGTTATTGGCAGTACGTATGTTTTACTGCCTTATGAGATTTGGTATCAAACGGTTATGTGGTTGCCCACAACTGTGGGAATGACTCGGGATGTAAAGCTACGTAATATACGCGGTGGCAACGTACATTGTCTTTACATTCTGTTAACGTTAGACCCGTGAAGATCTGGGTTAGAATTGATGTACAGTAACCCATGCTTGTCGTAGGAGGCGACTAACGGGATCGGGTGGGCAGGCTCGCTGACAAGGCTGACACATGTCATCGTATCCCGACATCGTAGATCGATATTCACGCTGCTGATCACTGGATTGTCTGGTTCAGACTCAAATTATTTACAAACCGCCACCATAATAGTTGGAACACTGCTGAGCGCGGCGTTAAACAACAACAAATCAATCAAGCAAAACGTTAGTGGTTAAATAGTTATGTAGAGTACATAAGAAACAAAGCAGATATTCACTGCAATGTTTACTCGTCAATTTACATGTTGTTTTTGGTTTTGTGTTTCATCAAGTTTTAGCTGAGTAGTGAGGAAAAATATTATACAGAAAACTCTATCGTGACATCAAGTTATAAGAAACACTGTCCTAACGTCGTTGTGAGAACCCGAAAGAATAACGTTTCCACAACGTAAATTTGCAACGTTGTTATTACCTTGTGAAATAACATTGCACAGTGTTTACATTCCGACAATGCACATAAGTTGTAGCATGAATGAATTCACGTGCTTGTTAAGAATGAACAAGTAGTTCCGTCACAACGTGACTTAACTGTGAAGCCATCGGTTATCCGATCAAATCCTTACAATCTCAGGTCAAGTCGTTACGACACAGGTCAACGCGAAACGACACTCGTGCGACGTACGAGATTAGTATGCAACTACCCATGCGTTAAAAGCGTGGGTAATAAAGCCTTGTATTGCCTACCCGAACTGTCACAGCATATCACGTCTTGGTGTGGTGTCCGTCATGCATGTACCTATATATCTCACCTGAGATATTTGATCACACACACACTTGGGCGACAGAATTCATACATTCCATATATTTAGGCATCTACATATACATTTGATATATCCAAATCACGGGTTAATATCTTTTATATGACGAAGTTGGTTGCCTGTGATTAAAACACACACTGTCATTTGTACTACATTATGAGATGTAACTTTATTTAGCTTCTGTGATCACACAACTCAAACCGGTTTTGTATAGCCTACCTGAGCTGTCACTTGAATCACTTCCTGGTGTGGTGTTACAGGCGGGAGTGTGTCTCCATGATGGCTGAGTCTGTACCTCTGGGCTGAGTATTGGATATGCATTTATGACCATGAGCAGTTTAGTTCTTGACAAGGTAAGTTAACGTGGCAAAGTGACGGTCGAAGGTAATGTAGGGGTAATGTACAAATACACATACACGATTGCATTTTCCACTGCGAGTCAGGGAGGCCTGTGTTTATTCCTGTAGGTTGCACACCCTTTGATTCCTTACAAACGACAGTGCTGAATGAAAGTCAACTTCTAAGAGACATAGGACACCGTCTCCATTGCCATTACTTTCATTGACTACCCTGCTATTATACGTTTCCACATCAAATGATTGTACGTCCGTAAACAATGACTCGTTACTTGCGATTTGTTGGCTACTGTACATCACGTCGATGTCATCCATGTAGTCCTTACTAACATGGATATATCCTGAAGTGCAAGAAATCGCTGTCATTGGGTATATTCAAATGATTCCTGACTGGTGGTTGTGAACGCGATCATTAGGTTCCTATCTTACTGCTCTCAAGGACCGCCTCCGTGGTGTAGTGGTTAGAGCGTCCGCCTGGAGAGCGGAAGGTCGTGGGTTCCATCAAAAGACGTTAAAATGTGGTACTTGTTGGTCCCTGTCTGGCGTACAAGAAGAACTGGTCCGTTCGGAGTCAGTTTGTTTCTAAGTGGGGTATTCATGTTTAACTGGTATCTCAGTGGGCTAGCACTATAAAACCAGCTTAAGTCTGGGCTAGTATAAGCAGCCACACATACACATACACATACACGCAAATGAACGAAATATTCTTAATTACGACGTTAAACCCAATTTTACCTCATCTCACCTACCATTCTCAGGTGTCACCAATTCGCCGTCAACTTGAGATGAGAACATCACTGGTCGTCATGGCGTTTTGTGCTGGAGTACTTTCTTGTGCGGGTCATTGGGCCTCAGGTAAGTGTCTGATATGTGAGCGAAGAACCATCAGTTCCACTTGTAGTAGTCAAGTAAACATACTGTACAAGAACATAACATGTTACCAAAAGGGTCAAATCTATGTTCCAGCATCTGTCATTGTCTGTCTGACAAGATACCCGCAGTTTGCCACAGAAGGAGTCGAGTTCACACTGTCCTGTACATCCACACATAGCGGTGGATTGATAAGTGTCAGATGGTACAGAAACAATGTTGAAATGTTCCATACAAGCAGTGATGCCGACGTATCTACTTCCATATTCAACCCCGCCACCACACCCAGTGAGTCACGTGCTGTGGCAGGACGTGTCACTGTCAGCTCCTCCATCCAGCAACACAACGTGACACTCAGGATCAACTCTACACTCGACCAGGGCTCTGTGTGGAAGTGCCAGGCTGGGAGTCGTTCCAGCAATAACGTCACTGTGGAGATTACAGACAACACTGAAGGTACAAGCGAAATAATACGCGATGCATCTGTTAGAAATGGCAGCTTCAAATACATACAATACCCAGATTCTTGTTGATTCATTTCCTGACTTATGTAACTCGCTTTGTCGTAAAGCCGTACTCAGCAATATTTCACATGTATAAGGGATCGTAAAGGTTTCTGGACGAGGAACATAGTATCCAATAGTATGAATCATGTGACTCCACTTTAGGATAGAAAGTCTTGAAAGAGTGTGGTTGACAACCATCCAACAGACAAATTCTCCATATTTCGGATATATTCCAGCACTAAACATTTGCTATCTACTTTCACAACTTTCGAGATACCTTAGAACATGCTTAATTTCACCTTCAATCAGAGCTTCATACGACTCTTGCTCAAAGGTGTTGGGATCACTGAATTCACTACTTCAGGAAAGCTTACAAGATGCTTTATGCTAGAACATGGAACATATTTCCAGATTCGATGACTCCAAAATGTTTCCAATGTAATTCCTTTTTGAACTTCCAATGATTTTCAGGTGCAACATTCACTTAACCTGCACCATTCCTAACGTATCACACATCATACACATCCTCATGATCGTATGTAATACTTTGTTGCTTTGAGTAGTGGCAGTAGTTGTAGTCTTTGTTGTAGAGGTAGTCACAGTCGTAGCCGTAGCACTGGTTATACTAGTAGCAGTAGTAATACTATTCCACGTCGCAGTGGCGGGAGTGGAAGAAATAGCAGCAGTCCACTGTCCACAGTCCACAGTCCAAAGTGTCCCAAATTCGAAATCTACCTGCCGAAGTGCACTTACTATTGTACACGTAACTTATTCTTAGGGTATATCTTATCACGACTTTTGTGAGCTGACTCTTCGCCATTTGATTATCTGTTGATTCAATGTGATTTTAAACAAGCATATCTATCACTCAACAACTACTCTCTACTCTTTGTTAAAATCATTAATAATCTGTTTGGAGATGTCGCGAGGGCCGACAGTTCCAGCAATAACATCACTATTGGCAGCAAAGATTTAACTCAAGCCAGTTAACATGAAAAAATAAGTGGACTTTCCGGTGTGTGTCGCCTTCCAAACGGAAACAATAAGTCAATCCAGAAATCTGTTTGCAAAATAATTCAAACCAAAAAATATAAAAGTGTTAAACGATGAATCATTAGTATTCTAACCTTATCCAGCTTTTCAAATCAATACATTTGTTGGTAAAGTGTTCACAACGACGGTAAACAATAGATCCGGAGTTGTCCAGGAGTGTCCACTCTGTGCCGAGTCAAGCAATAGCTGTTCTGCTTACATAAGACAGTAACTAGTTGTTGTTGAGGCACAATGTTATAAACTTCGACTGAATCTTAATAACTACAATTACAACAAAAGTGATGCACCCATGGAGCTATCATGACGAAATAAATTTGATCTGATATTGCCAGCTGACTAAACACAACTATGTTATATCTTGGAATACATGTGCGTGCACGTTATTAACCCTAATGGTTTGTGTACTAACAGTACAATCGAACAATCGCCTCGGGTTTTAGAAGATATTTCTAATGAATGTGGCTAGGAATTTCTGGGTATACATTTTGGCCATAATTCATATTTTATGGTGACTGATTACAGTGACAGATAGCTCAAGCTGAATAGTTTACACTTACAACACATGGTATCCCACCTTATTAAGAGGACTTATATTATGTATTCTACCATGACTTGATTAAATGCTGTATTGTGATTGGTTTATTAAAGTCATTCAGAGGCATATAATCACGTTATATACCTGTGATTTTCTAATACGTTATGCATTCGGTTTTAATTCAAATTTAGAGCTATTATAATTTCGTTATATATTTCTGATGTTCCAGCTCAGTATGTTTATCTCCTAACTGTAACCTTTGACACGCACGTTCAGCGTCCATCTCAGTAAAAGCAACAAGAAATCCAGTCAAAGATGGACAGATCCTAACACTGATTTGCGAAAGTACAAGTGACATCAAGGAAACTGTCTGGTCAAGAAACTCAGTGAACATATTCAAGACCATCATACCGACGTCCATGTTGGTGTACGACACCAGCTCCCCCCAGTACCAGTCTGTTGCAGGACGTGTCACTGTCAACTCCACCCTCACACAGCACAACGTCAGTCTCAGGATCAACTCTACACTCGACCAGGGCTCTGTGTGGAGATGTCACACTGGAGACGGGCTCAGCAATAACGTCACGCTTGATGTGATTGAACATATGCGGGGTAAATAAACCTTTCATGTATAAGAGTGTTATATATAATAAAGATTAAGCTGACACATTAAACTCAGTGATGGCATAATGTATATAACAATTTGATTTCATTACATTAAGTCTGTGATTTCATAATATATATAACGCATTGATTTCTAGATGTAACGCATTGATTTCATAACATGAAACGCAGTGATCTCATAACATGTAACACAGTGATTTCATAACATATAACAGTGATTTTATAACATATAACACAAGTGTTTTCATAACATTTAACTAAATGATTTCATAGCATTAGCTCAGTGATTTCATAACATGTAACACAGTGGTTTCATAACATATAACGGAGTGATTTCGTCATATATAACGGAGTGATTTCATAACATATAACTGAGCGTTTTCATAACATTTAACTCAATGATTTCATTACATTGACTCAGTAATTGTCTGTCTGCAGGGGATGCTGTTACCACGATTGCCACAATTAATTCGCCATCAACCTCTGAAGGTATGCCGTTACATTTGCTCATGACGATATCATGTGTTAAAAGGATTGTGATTTGTGACTTGACTCCTCGTTGTAGGATTTTATCTTTTTCAAACATATCTCATTATGGTGATATTTCTGTACGCAACAGAAAAGGGTGCAATTGCATAACTATTGTGAGTATCAGCTTAATAAGAGATGGTGACTCGGAATGTTTTAACTGATTCAACCAACACTTGCAACATTTTACAAATTGAAAACCATCTAATGTGATTTGTTTTAACATAACTACCACCCTCGATGGTTTGGGTTTAAAGTGAGGATATTTGGCTGGAACGTATAGCTTGTAAGATAATTAAAGGCATACTATATTTCAATCGACTTACGACCTTTAACGCATAGTTTACAGTTAAAAACTTTCCAAAGTATCTTCACGATATGAGACACGCTAAGTCTTCAATCACCCACCCTTCTTCTGTCTTTGAAAAATGCTAATATGTATATCTTCCTCTCCAGGTTTGATAAAATAGCAATTCCAAGTAACCAACGTAAATCCAAATCTTTGGGAGTTTTTTTTCAAGGCCACACTCAGCAACATTCCAGCTATGTGGCGGCGTTCTGTAAATAATTGAGTCTGGATCAGACAATTCAGTTACTAACGGTATGGGCATCGATCTCAGCAGCCGGGATGCGATGACATGTGGCAACCTCTTGCGGCAAGTATGGGTTGTTGAAGACCAGTTCTAACTCGGATCTTCACGGGTTACCCAGGCTGTTGGGGGATTATGTTTATAACGTGTGTATTCATGAGTTAAACATCCGAGCACCAGGTCAACAGTAGCTATGTTTACGTCTGTATTGGACAGTGTCATAGCTGAAGAAAGTAGATTCATTCTCGAGTACTTTTGGAAATACTTCACTTGCAACTCCAAGTTTAATATTTCTGGAAGGTCAATGACGTCATTCAATGTTTATTGACAGAACCAGTTCTTCATAATAAATTTTGTTAACTTTGAAGTATATGTTACGAATATGATACGGAGAAACAGATTTCAACTGGCACGTGCTCAAACAGATTCAACTGTGCACTCGGTGTACAGAAAACTGGATGTCATGGCAACACTGACAAATACAAACATTCAATTGAGGTTGACTGTGTGAACTGTGTTTCAGATGGAAGTATTTTACCCCTCATCGCTGCAATTGCCAGCATCAGCGTAGTCATCGTCATCGTCGTCGCCAGTTTTATCTGTGTGTTGCTGGTCAGGAAGTATAAGAAGGGTACGTGATTTCTTTTCCTAATACACGGCATTGTGCCATTGTGTATGATAAGAGGGGATACATTAAACAGGGGATAGAGTTTCGGACATATTTGGATATTGAATGAAACAAATATGTCGTTTAAATATGTGAAGTTTTAAAGAAAATTGTAAACCAAAAGTCACTGTGTTCTTAAATATCATTGTTTGAAAAACATGATCGAATGTTATTCGATTCCCGGAAATTCGCTGCGTATTAATACGTACAAACATCGCTCAACCTTTTAGATTACTTTCGTGTTTACAATGTCGATAAACATGATGTGTTGGCCAATTTTCCAGGTATTATCGAGTATTTGAAGCACGAGGATATTTCATTTGAAACCTCCGGCTTACTCATAAACACCCGTAAATTGGCCAACACATGATGTTTATCTCCTAATTATAATTGAAATGGCTTGCTCTCTGACAAAGCACACTATAAGCAACGCCCCCTATTTAAAAGGGAACATAACGTTTCATATCATGTATTGAGTTTGTTAACGTGTTTGTACAACATGTTTCTGACCTTTCAATAACTACGAACTATTTTCATATTCTGCCGTCGTAATGGATAAAGATTATTCTGTAGGTCATTTCTCTCTATTACGCATTAGTGGTTCTAAACGTTTTGTTCTGTGCATGTGATATATTTCATCATAACCGACAAAGTCACATGTTGTTCCAGACGTCGCAGAAAGCAACAGCCAGATGTACAGCACCATGTCACGTGACCCTGACACTGACAATAATTACTCTGAGTTGGGACCTGGACTCACAAGTAAGAGGCTTCCGGCTTCTCAGCCTGTCACCACAGATGAGTCCGTGGCCTACTACAACACAGTGCCCGCTGACAGCCAGTATGAAAACCCACCAGCTTCTACTGAGAATCCGGATTCTTCATACAGTGAGTGAGTGAGGATCCCGAGTTTAGTTTTACGCCGCTTTTAGCAATATTCCAGAGATATCACGATCTAAGCACCAGAAATGGGCTCCACGCATGTGGGGAATCGAACACAGAAGAGCAGTGACCCCCACCGCCCTCTTCATACAAAATGATACAGCCATCTTTCAAATGCTCTGACTTTACACAGATGATTCATTCAATGTAATTTCAACCAAATGATTGATGGTTCGAGTGATGTCGTACCAAATTACGTTAAAGGATGTATTTAATGTTGCCCTGCCTGGTGTTCGGATTGAAGAGGATAAAACTGGGGCAAAGTTAAATAATGTTAATGTAGACATTGCTACCTTTGCTGGGGTTCGACAAGTGAGTAATACAAGGACCATTCGGTTGGGACTTACAAGACTATATCTGACTCTGGTATCCATGGTAACCTGCGGCATGACATCTCTGGGAGTTAGCATGAGTAATGCCAGCATTCGTCAGAACTGTTAAACGTAAAAATGCCAAGGTGACGTGACGTAACGTTTAACTCTCCTACATTCAGCGAATACCCATGAAAATGTTCATCATTGCTCTCTTGTATTTAGTTTAGACACGGATATCCCGGTGAATTTGTCTTTTGGACTGTTTGATCACTTCCTTAGTTTAATTTTTCTTCATTCTCATACAATGACTCCATTGTTTTCTTGAATTCTTTTTGTAATGTTGTATACGGTCGTTATAATCTGTCTTCAATTCAGTCAGCTCATGATATATGTCTTGACGGATATCTCGGTGTATTTGTCGCTGTTTGATAACGTCTTTTCTTTCTTTTCCACTATTGAACGCGTTCAGTTTATTGAATTCTCTATGTACAATATGTGACTCTTTCATATATGAAATGCAATTGTCATACCATGACGCAGTTGTATTTCTTGAAGAAAGTTGCTTGTAGCAAAGTTGTGTAAGCCCATTATATAATCTGTTTTGACGTTTTGTTTATAACCCACAACACGAAGACTAAAATCGTGACCAACCATAGGAAGTGATACTTTCTTATTGTTACATTACGACGTACTACGGCCCAGCAAGCAAAATGTTCATTTTCCTGCTTTGAATAAAAACAACGCAGGTCTATTCAGATAAAGGCAATGGTCGTGAGGAAAATACCTCGCCTTGATAATCCAACGCACTGTGCAGTTTTTTCTTTTAAATAACACAACTGTCAATGCAAATATGTTGTGAGTAGGGGTGTTGACATTTCTTGCAGTTTCAGATTTGTTTCATATATAAAATGATATTCTCATACCATGACGCAAATGTTTTTTCTTGACGAACTTTGCTTGTAGCAAAGTTGTGTACGGCCATTATACTCTGTCTTCAATACAGTCAGTTGATGATGTGTCTTGACATCTTGTTTATAACCCACAACACGACCAACCATAGGAAGTGATGCTTTCTCAGTGTCAATTCTGATAAAGACAATGGTCGTGAGGAAAATACCTCGCCTTGATCATCCAACTCCCTACAGTTTTTCTTTTAAATAACAAAACTTTCAATGAAGAAATATGTGAGTAGTGGTATTGGCATGCAAAGCAATTTCAGACTTTTTATGTTAATAACACAAACTGCCAATAAAAACATATGTAAATAGGGGTATTGGTATGTCTAGTAGTTTCAGATTGGTATGTTTCTTAATTTAAGTTTTCTTTTAAACAACAAAAACTGTCAATAAAAGTATAAGTAAATAGGGGTATTGACATGTCTAGTAGTGTCAGACTTGTAGTTGATCTAATCCAAGCATTAATTTTCCTCCCTCTGACTTTGGGATACCGATATAGCCACATACACACATAACGCCAGATTCTATGTGAGACTGTATGTGTACAGTGAATCATGGCTGTCAACACGTTACATTCAGCCACATTGTATACATGTATGTGTAACACAGGATACACTTACACACGACGAAAGGAGCACTGATGAATACAGATAGAATTGTCAGGTTGCAGGAAAGACACATCCACTCACAATAAGTGATGTGTTTATGTAAATTCTGTTTGTAGCGGTTGGAAATAACCATCCTTGTTTTGACAGGAAAGTCGTGTTATCAGTGCTACTTCCTGTCAATACTGAAGTTCTGAAGTCTACTAGGCTGTATTACCGCCGAAAGAGATTCAATACTGCAAACACAATACCCGAACAATTCAGCTTTATTTGTTGGGTGTAGCCCATAGAGTACACATTATGTCAATATCTTCGAACATGTACCTGTTGTCGCTCTGTTGTACCGTGTAATCGACTACTAACGGGATCGGTTGGTCAGGCTCGCTGACTTGGTTGACATGTGTCATCGGTTCCCGATTGCGTAGATCGATGCTCATGCTGTTTATCACTGGATTGTCTGGTCCAGACTCGATTATTTAGAGACCGCCGCCATATAGCTGGACTATTACTGAGTGCGGCGTAAAACTAACCTCACTCACTCACTGTTGTACCGTCATACATTTGTCCACTCGCTGTTCAATCCCTGAAACAGCATCGTAAATATTTAATCTGAAGTGAGTCGTTCTCCTTGATTCAATGAAGTGTGAATGATAATGTGAAATATTGATAAAATAGACAAATAACAACATATAGTCAGTTTGAGAAAGTCAAACTTATGTTACAAGTAATGGCAACGCATATGAACATTGGTGACACGTGTAAGTATAGAATATATATACCTGATATACTATCTAAATCAATGAATCAATGACTCATCTATGCCACCTGGTAAAATGGACAGCATACATGCAGTAGTAATTTAGAAATTCTAAGATTTACCAGTGTGTCTTTACAAGGATAAAACTATAGTGTGAATACATAATGCCTTAAAGAAGACTGACTGACTGACTGAGTTTGGTTTTACGCCGCTTTTAGCAATATTCCAGCAACATCACAGCGGGGGACACCAGAAATGGGCTTCACACGTTGTACCCATGTGGGGATTCGAACCCGGGTCTTCGGCGTGACGAGCCAACGCTGTAACCACTAGGCTATCCCACCGCCCCCTTAAAGAAGATAACATACGCTATATTTGGTATTGCACTTAGAGGGATATGTAAAGACTGCCACTTTTCAGACTTTTATTTTTGTGGAAACCTCGGTGGCTGAGTGGCTTAGATCGCTGACTTTGTGTGGTGGCAATTCTGTGCCTCACTCTTACAGTCTGGGTTCGAATCCCGGATCGGACTAGAACCTACACTTGACTTAGAATGTGTAATTACACATCTATAGTATGTTATATTTATATGTAGGAATACAAACTAATCGTTACCCAGCAATGACGAATTATTTGTGAAAACTAGTATCCAAATATGTTATGTCCACATGTTGCTCAAGAATGGACTGACATGAATATGTATGCAAAGAATACCCAACGAAGAGGTAAAACCCGGACAAAATGAGTGAAGCATGAGTGGCACGGTGACAGCCGTGTTGAACCACACATCTGACACTGCCATATTCGAGAGCTGGGATAACAGGAAGGGCTTATTTGCAATTTAACATAACAGCTTTGTGATCGAATGACACATACATAAAGCACAATGTGCAGCCAGCAGGTAGACATGCTCTATTTAGGTCCTGTGAACAAAACACTGCACACAAACAGGCCTGTATTGCCTACCCGAACTGTCACAGCACATCACGTCCTGGTGTGGTGTCCGTGATGAGTGTACCTGTATATCTCACCTGAGATATTTGATCACACACTCACTCGGGCGACAGAATTCATACATTCCATATATTTAGGCATCTATATATATTTCATATCCCCAAATCACGGGTTAATATCTTTTATATGACGAGGCTAGTTGCCTGTGCATAAAACACACACTGTCATCTGCACTTCATTATGAGATGTAGCTTTATTTAGCTTCTACGACCACACAACTCAAACCGGTTTTGTATAGCCTACCCGAGCTGTCACTTGAATCACTTCCTGGTGTGGTGTTACAGGCGGGACTGTGTCTCCATGATAGCCGTGTCTGTACGTCTGGGTTGAGTACTGGATATGCATTTATGACCATGAGCAGTTTAGTTCTTGACAAGGTAAGTTAACGTGGCAATGTCACGGTCGAAGGTAATGTAGGGGTAATGTACAAATACACATACACGATTTCATATTCCACCGCGAGTCAGGGAGGCCTGTGTTTATTCTTGTAGGTTGCACACCTTTTGTAGTTTGACACGATTTTTATTTATTAAGCTTTGTGGGTTTGAATGGTTTAATATGTGACGTTTTGGAGGAATTAAGTGACCTCAAATGCACCAATTGTTTGAGAGAAGCACGAGTTACGAATAGCAACTTCTTGTTGTGAAGGATCAAGCATGCACTCCGAAACGTCGTGTTATTCACAATAGAGATTCTGACGTCCATTAATCTTGCATTTCTTATGCATTCCACTTCTAAATGCCCTTCTAAGATTTGACCAGTCTTTTATTTGGACCCATTAGTAGTGCCTCTGGTTCTGAGTGACCATTTCACATTATTTTGTTATTTTTGTTAGTTTCATAATGGGAAATATGCTATCATAAAGGTCAAAGTCTTATAAATTTTGTAGGACTGTATAATGACAATCTAGTCAAGGATCTTAGTTACTGGAGGTCACATGAGCTTTTAAGCTCAAGTAGTTCACCTAAATCATGTTTTTGTTTCATTTTGCAATATTTCATGTTAACACATGTTAATACTGAAGTTGAATCTGAATGAACCACTGACATGCAGTAACAATAATTACATACTGCACTGAAGTGCATTCGGTTGAAGTAAACAACACTGACCATGAAAATCATCTTATACTATTGCCTGTATCATTGTGTTCGCAAAACTTTGTTGCATTACAGTACTTCAGTCAAACATTCTACTTTAAGGCTCTATACTATTTTATTTATCTGTAAGCCATTGACATACATTCATACACAATGGGGATGGGGAGCCTGAAAGTATGGTGTAACAGCAACTAAGAAGATGATGTCGCACACAGAGAGCTATTATGAATTTACGATGTACGCACTTGGACAGAAACCTTCCAGTCAATATATCACAATATGTAGGGCAATATCTCTTACATTATTACAATATATCGCGATATGAGAATCAGGGCAATATCCAGCCTTAGTTCTCAGGGACCGCCTCCGTGGTGTAGTGGTTAGAGCGCCCGCCCGGAGAGCGGAAGGTCGTGGGTTGCATCCCCGGCCGCATCAAATCGAAAGACGTTAAAATATGGTACTTGTTGGTCCCTGTCTGGCGTACAAGACGAGCTGGTCCGTTCGGAATCAGTTTGTTTCTAAGTGGGGTATTCATGTTTAACTGGTATCTCATTGGGCTAGCACTATATAACCAGCTTAAGTCTGGGCTAGTACAAGCAGGCACACATACACACGCAAGCACGTCGTCACATGCGCGAAAATGTCTTAATTACGACGTTAAACCCCATTTCACCTCACCTCACCTACCATTCTCAGATGTCACCAATTCGCCGTCCATTTGAGATGAGAACATCACTGGTCGCCATGGCGTTTTTAGCTGGAGTACTTTCTTGTGCTGGTCATTGGGCGTCAGGTAAGTGTTTGATATGTGAGCGAAGAACAATCAGTTCCACTTGTTGTGGTCAAGTGGAAATACTGTACAAGACGTAAGATGTTACCAGAAGGGTCAAATCTATGTTTCAGCATCTGTCATTGTCTGTCTGACAAGTTACCCGCAGTCTGCCACAGAAGGAGTCGCGTTCACACTGTCCTGTACATCCACAAATAGCCATGGGTCGATAAGTGTCAGCTGGTACAGAAACAATGTTGAAATATTCAAAACAAGCAGTGATGTCGACGTATCTACTTCCATACTGAAACCCAACACCACTTTATCAGAATACCGCGCCGTGGCAGGACGTGTCACTGTCAGCTCCTCCCTCCAACAACACAACGTGACACTCAGGATCAACTCTACACTCGACCAGGACTCTGTGTTGAAGTGCCAGAGTGGGAGTCGTTTCAGCAATAACGTCACTGTGGAGATTACAGACAACTCTGAAGGTACAAGCGAAATAATACTTAACACCATAACGTGAGAAGACCTTTAGAAATAGTACTTACTCT